AAAGTAATCAAGAACTATCACCTAGAGGGTATCCTGCGACACACTTAGGCTCAAGCTGTAAGAGAAAATTCCAATTAGTAGAGAAATTAATTTAACTTAAGGGAATTTTTCAAATTAATTTCTCTACTAATTGGAATTTTCTCTTACAGCTTGAGTTTAAGTGTGTCGCAGGATACCTTCTAGGTGATAGTTCTTGATTACTTTTTGATAAATAATTCGTTCTTATTGCGAAATAGGAGCACTATTTATCAATCTGTAATAAAAGACGTGAGGAAATTCTGTTTTTTTTAAGGCAAAAATTTTTGAGGCGAAATACCCAAAAAGAAGTTTGTAAAAAAACTAATTTTATTTGTTTTAAATTACGGTTAAATAATTATAATGTTGCCTTGTGTTCCTTATACTTGATTTTATCGTGCTGTTTCCTTTCTTTTCTCTTTTATTTACATTGATGACCAAGTTAATATCTTCGATTGACGATTAATTCTTCTATAACTAATGTTGGTAAATAAGAAGTCGGTTAAAGTCCACTATAATTTATACCCAAAGAATTAAATATGCATAACTTACCAATTACCATCACGGTCACATTATGGAATCTGTTCAATTTGATTTCAATAGTTTCTCTGTGATGTTTCTCAAATTTAAAATAAATATTTATTTACATGATTTTTTACTCATATTATGTATAAACTTATATGCAAATTCTGTAAAAACTATTAGTTCCTAATATTTGTAGGAAGTCAATTTGAAAACTTGGAACGAAAAGTACAATTAAACTAATAAACAATTAAATTAAAAACTATTGGTTTATTATCTGCACAACTTAGTTACTCAAAATTTCTGAAAACGTTTTACGTTTTACTATTTATTATTCCGCCGATAACTGAATTATTAAAATTCTTTTATACAGTCAAAAATAGGTCTTATTTTTATCAGGAAAGCAAAAAGCAATCCGGAATTTTCTACTTCACTATTATATCGAATTAATTTGTTACTAATACTTGTGTCTTTAAATGTTGCTTAAAAAATACAAATTGGCCCACAGTGGATTAGTTTCGTAAATTTGGAAAAAATATAAAACCCAACTTATTAAGTTACTCTACCTTTGACCCTTTATATCCCCCACATTTCGCCTCTCAAAAACCAATAAAAACTAAACCGCAAAAATTCTTCTATTTTTCTGCATATTTTTATAGTGGAATCAACCTTTTTAACTTCCCAGCATTATAAATCAACACTTTTAAATAATTCACAATACACGTTTTATAAAAGTTGTTAAAACATAATTTAAAAAGTATACCGGCAAATAATTGAAATTATCTTTGTATTGTCCGATCTTGTGCACGACGGAATACGAAAGCATTAAAACACGCCCTGACACCGTATTATTTTTCTCTCAATGTCTTTTAAATCCTCACTTTATTGTTGTCTGTATCTTCTCTTATTATAACAGAAAGACTTCTTTGCCACCGTAAAACTTTTTCTTTTCATTGAAGAGAAAATTCCTTTATTCAATTTACCCGTTTTTACTGCCGCTAATTTTGCTGGTATGCTCCAATAACGACGAAAATTGTTTCCTTAATTTTTTCGCTTTACATGGATTTTAAGTCGGCGAAATAAAATTTTCTTTGTTAAGTCAAGCAAAACAAACAAAGCGAACTAATCGGTTTTATTTTATTTCGACAAAAAATATTGGTTTGCTTTCGTTCTAAAATCGACAGATTTTAAACCGTTATATTTAGATAGGGTGTTTTGAATGTGTGAAATTTGTCACTATTGCCTACATGTTATTAGACAGTTTAGAATCTATTAGATCATTCATTATGGAATGAATAAACTAGTTGAAAATGAATGAAGATGATGGATGAATATTCGCCATAATCGTCTTGTTTGCGAAGGATTACGTCAATGCAGGCGGAACTCTAATCAATGTGCATTCAAAACCTTCACAAATATTAGGTGAGACTATATCAACATTTTGTAAACCTACACATTTAACCTTTGACAGGAATAAAAACCCGTTAAAATTTACTTGCATCTAACAAAACATTCTAAACTTTTTCTCTAAACCAAGAGAAAATGGAAATATAAAGATTCTTGCTGATAAAGGTGATGGAAACTTTAGTGTTGATTGTTATTACAATCCAGCATTAAAGACTTCCGTTTAATAGTAGTTATTCAAAAATTAACAAAAACCTTATAAAACGATCCAAAAACCAACAAAATGCAAAGGATTTCTCTGCCTTTAACAGTAACGAGCATAAATTCACCAACTTTGCGCCATTACAATTTTTTTATGCAGGCCGATTTGGAACAATTTTGCTCAAGTTTACAAGTAGCATATTTAAATTCAAGGACCACAAAAGGGTGAAAAACACCATTACTAGAAGAACTATAGTGGCTAAAAGATTAAAATACTATTCATTAAAATTCCAGAAGACACATTTTTGCTTATAACAGTCTTATGATATCGAGAAGAAATTTTTTTAAATTAATTTTCAGTTGGTAAGTTTATTTACAAAAGTATTAGTTAATAAACCTTTAATTTTGAAAATAGAAGCAAACTCGAGAAGAAATTTACAAATTAACTCAATACTAATTATGTGAGAAATAAACTTAGATATCTGCAAAATATCAAAGCCTTTTTGAAAATCTAATAGAAAATGTGAATAGACCACATTAAAATAACGAAATTACCAAATTTTCCGTGGAAAATACAAAATACTTTGAAACACATACATGAAAAAAACCGATTCTTGGAAGTCTATATAAAATATCTGGAAAGATCCAGTAAAAAGTATAGTCAAAAAATCAATACTAAATATCTTTATTCTAGAGCTGGATTATTCTTTCGTTCATATATGGTTTAACTCATTTAATCATTATCACTTAATCAATATCAGACTTTAATTTAAAACACAAAATTAATAAACTCACAAAAACAAAGCCTTATCATAAAATGGAGATACAAAAATTGTAGTACAGAAAATTATAACAAAATGGTACACAGAAAAATAAATAGTAGATACATAGAGAAAGATGAGACCATTATCTAAAAGAATTAAACATAGCAATGAATTTAGCAAATACTTGAACTTTTTTATTCCCTATATTTTGACTGGCACTGCTGAATGTATTCACGTGAGAAAGAAGAATGATTGTTTTTTGATGTATTTTAAATCAAATTTAAATCACTTTTAGAATTGTGATTTCTTGATTGACTTGATGATCAACTAGCTATAATATTGCAGCCTAAGCAGATAAAATCGTGGATAAAAAAATAAACTATCAACTATTCAGTATAATACAGAACATTTTTTTCATAAATAATGCACGATAATTGTTATTTTCACTGTTTATTTTTTAGGGCGCTCTATAACTAATTCGTGATAATAAGGTATTGACATTTTAGTATTAATAATTAAACTACCGTTTATTAAATATTCTAAACTAAATTGTATAGATTTTGTGCTTTACCTATAAGCTCTATTTTTAGTTGAGTACATAATTGATAAAAATTGTTTTCAGCTCATAACGCTCTAAATAATAGCAAATTTGAAGTTGATGTAGTATTTTACATAAATTACTAAAAAATATTTAATAAACAGTTTTGAGATCACCCGAAAGTTGGTTGAAATGTTATGAGAGGTAGTAGAGTAAATTAAGTATAGATACATTTTGGCAGTTACCATATTTTGAAATTGAGTTTTCTCAATTAGGTTTCAATATTCATCGGTAAAATCTATTGCTGAAAATATGCTTTGATAGTATTAAATAATTGATTTTATATAAGATTGCGGTATTGTCAAATTCAGGTAAGTTTTTCTGGCTCTCAAGCCTCGAACAGCTCTTATTTTTTATGTTATCTTAATCTTAAACACTTGGTTTAAATGTACTTTTCTAATAATGAACTGACATAGTGTTAACAAAAATCCAATATCAGTAATAAACTATTGTTAAATTTAAAAAATATGTAAAATTGATTACGTAAAGCTTTAAATAATAGTCAACTTACACTTTCCTCATTACTGGCACCCATTGATAAAAATCTGCTTCTTTCCGAAACATTAGAAGCGAAAGAGCCGACAAATGTTCATAAGAATCGAGTTCATGTTGAATGAAATTTCGAGGTGATAAATTAAAAAATGTATTCAACAACGATCAAATAATTTGGAAAATGCAACGCTGAATAATTATCGCAAATGATTAAATTTAGCAAACAAACTCTTTTGCGCAAAAAAACTTGTAGGACGCTTCCCACGATCCAGACAGTGGAAAATTCGAAACTTTGAGCGCGGATCGACAACAAGTGAGATGCGAAGCGCTTTTCCATGGTCCTGATTTTGAATCCAGGCACGTGAGGCATGGATAACGCTTGCGCCATAATAGATAACTCTTCTTCATAGAGAACAAGTTATTTTTTATAAGTTTGTGTATTTTTTATATGTATTTATTCTTAGAATTCAGTTTCTTGAGACAAAGTGTGCAATATTATCCTGGGTGTCCCGTAAGCACATGAACAAAAGGGTATTGCGATATTCCTCGGACCAAAAGAAGACGATCTGACCTAACTTTTATTGAAAAAAAATGTTTGGCTCATCTGCTATTGATGGTCAAAATCCTTCAAAAATGTATCTTTTTTGAAATATCGGGAGAATTTTATCGGAAAGAAACTCGCTGTGAATTTGTTCTTATGTAAGACTCATATTTTGATAAAACATTGAGTTGAGTTTGAGTGTCGTCAGCGGTGAATTCTTGAGTGTCGTCGTACAAAAACTACCAGAACTTTTTATTTGGTGGAGGAAATCAACTCAACAGATTGATGCACTCATTTATTCACAAAATCTTGTAACATTCATAGTTTTTGCGAAAATCTTGAAGTTACGTATTAAAATTATAAAACTTTGCTTATCCCAATTTGAAAAGGGTTACATTTTAAATTTAAATCAATTTAATATTTAAAAAATACAAAATTAGTGTACTAACATGTAGGTATCCATGTTTTTTCAATTATTCAAATGCAACCTTAAATATCTCCATATTACACTTACACACTACACCGAGTGTCCCATTTTTAATTGTATTAAATAGTATACCTATACGTCATGAATATCACAATATACTGCATATTCAATGGTATACTAGTCAGAAACATGATTAAACCATTATAAATTGTTGATTTTTACTCTGTTAAATCCAGCCCATATCATAACTTGATGACAGCACACAAATAAAGCTCAACACACAAAACACAATCATGAGTCATTTAAATACATGACATTATCACTAAACCATAATGCGATTGTCCGACATGAATTTGCACTAATACATTTAGTAAGCGATGCCAAAAATGTAACAAATAATTATCGAACGGACAAACTGAATTTCAATCATCGATCTTGTTTCATATTTTAATTGAATAGGAAATTAAGTTTGTAGCTTCTATCGCATTTCACGCCATTGTTTTCGGGTGTTTATTATTAATCGAAAATAACACGGAAATGTTTCACAGAAGAGGAAACATGTCCATTAGAATGAACATTGGCAAAGTTAGTCAACTATATCACGTTAAACAATAATGCATTGTGGAATTTAACTGTTGTTTTCTAGTCTATTTATTTTATATTTGCAGTTGAAATCGAATCAGAAAATTATTGGAAACGTTTTCCTTTCCATGTGATTTTTTAGTTTAAAAACGTTTTATTTGAATTAAATGACATTTTTACGGTGTTTTAAAGCAACTATTATACATCTGCTAAAGTAATTAAATTTAATTCAGACTTTGTCAAATGCGTAACCATCGAACAAAAAGATGTTCTTTTAGTAAAACAATATCGCACCGGAATTTCCATATCGGTCCAGAAATAACAACGGAGCAAAACTTCCCTTTCAGCTCTCAAACCATCTGTAAAAATCATACATATATCTAAATATCGATGGTGTCCTGAAATGGCTATAAAACCTGTATTTCCCAATGCTTCAATCAGTATTGAGGTAATATAAATTTATTTATGTCCAAAGTTGGTTTCTTCCTTGGCTTTGCATTTTCGCTATGGCACTAAGGCCCGGTTCCACTAAGAGCGATTAAATTATTGGTTAACTAATCACAATCATTTTTAATCACCCCTTTACTCATGATTAAATTGTCCTGCGTTCCACAATAAACATTTTAACTCTGGTTAGATAATCATCAGTCTCATCGGGTGAGATCGTATTTCCTTTGAATCCACCGTTCTCATTGGTGCAAACAACTGACAGATCAACTGAAATCATTTTCCCTCAAAATAGTAATCACATGTCCCTTGAACATTGATAGAGAAATATCCTTTTCTATTACGAAATACTTCTGCGTTGTCTCCCCCAGGAAGAAGGATTGTACTTTAATATGAGTACAATCCAAAACTGAAATAAGTTTGGGAAAACGAGCTAAAATGCATAAAAAACTACACACACTGTGCTACACTTATTTCCCTTTTTGTAGATKRGAGTTWAAAGTTAAATTTCGAGCTAATGTGGCTTATGCAGCAGTTACTCGATGTACAATTCGATGCGGACTAGTTTTGCTTRCTCCAAAAAAGTCTCCAGCAGCAATAAGATGCGATCCAGTTGCATAATACCTCAACACAAGTAAAAGTTGTGTCATGGATTGAATACTACTGTTTCTAAAAAATCTATTTAATAAACATGTGGTAATTTTACTATTATTCATTTATCATAACTTTCTGTAGTATGTTGCAGGTCTATTTCTTTTTCCAGCAGTAATGTTTGGACAGTGTTTTTCGATAAGCAAAATAGCGTAAAAAACTCAAGGTGTCCATGATTTGAAAATAGTTGTCTCGCGGATTAAATATTTGAGGTTTTCTAACAACCTGAATGTCACTATCCTCATCAGACGGTGGTAAAACATCGCCATAAAATAAATCCAACATGTGTTTACTTAAAGTTGTTTGAGGTTATAATATTACACTAATCGTGATTATCGTCAATAACGAGCCATTTTAGGCGATTAAGTTAACCAATGATTAAGTGTCCATAATCGTGGTTAAAATTATGGTGAACGCAAAGTGTTTTTGTTTAAAAAAAAACTATTTAATCAATCATTAACATTTTAATCGGAGATGGTGAAACCGGGCCTAAGAGTTACGAGTACATACTGTTTTTTTTTTCTCACGACATAATCACTTTTGTGCAAACAAATACTGCAAACTGCGTTTATTTAGTATTTTTGTTATAAAATTACCAATTGTTAGTCTCTGATCATGTGGAGTTTCAAAAATATTCAACAAAACCAATGAAAAATTGCACTGAATCTGAAATAATTTTTCTGATCAAAACTATATGCCTGGTAAACCTTTTTCAAGCTAAAGCAGGCCAATTTATGTACTAATTCTTAGTGCGAAAATTGAGTTTGTCGGTTGCTAACTAATTCTGCAAAACATTTTAGACGTAGAATCGCTTTATTTTCAATTAAACATATGATGTTAAGCGTTGTAGAATAATTTCAATAACACTCTGTATAATTTCCAAAATTATGAGAGATTTTAAATTACATCTGGTTATTTATCTATTTATTTTTCACATGGAGTAATTAAAAAATGTTTGTTTATGCTCTCAATATGATTGCCTTCAAATGTGTGTATTAACTAATAGCTGGCGCAAAAGCTTTCGGCACCAAAATGTAATTTTCCAGGCATTAAGCATTAAACCGATTGCCTAAAAAATTATTCCTCTACAATTCAAATATAAAGGTTTTTGGCCAAAAATCATATTAGTAGTATATATCTTTATTTCGTCTATAATCATCATAATTTTCTGCCCGTGAGGTGTCATAAAAATCATATTTCTAATAGAAAACCCTCTTTGCGATTGCCTAGTAAACTACAAACTTTCTAGCAAAATCGACAATCAGCAAACTTTGAGTTCCCTTGGGTAGATGCTTTCAGAATAAAAAAAACCGCCGTGAAATGAAAGAAACTCGTGATAAAGTGTGCACTGGAATGAAAACTCACCTCATCTGAAAGAAAGCTAATATTCCTAATTGCGTAATGCTACTCGTAACTGGGAATTGTATAATCTAATTACTTATACTTTTTAGTAAATTATTTATTCTTTAATTAATTTCTATTGTTATTCAATTTCCAGGTCAAGTGGCAAGTGAGTCAATAGATTATTACATTATGTAATTAAATTATCGTAATTGTTGATATACACCTTACCTTGTAAAAATATGTTCTACTGTTAGTTTGGCTTTCTATCTTTAAACTCCCATCTTGACAGCAGAAGTTATTGAAAATGATGTTTGATTTTAATTATTATTGTCTAGTTAAAAACTCAATTGCGACCAAACGAAAATAACGGGAGCAAATGAATGTTTTCATAGTTTTTCAGCAAAATGTTTTCTCGTATCATTGGGCACCAAAATTTGAAACATTTTATTGATTTCTTTTTACTTTATATTATTTTATTTTATTTTTTATCACTCAATTGGACTACGTTGTAAAATGTTTGTTAGGGGGCGACGAATTAAGTAATTTTGTTTTTAAATACATATTTTTTCTAAGTTTGTGTATTTCTCATATGAATTTATTACTAGAATGCAGTTTCTTGGTACAAACAAAGTGTGCAATATACAAGGTGTCCCGTAGGCACATGATCAAAAGGGTAGTGCGATATTCTTTGAACCAAAAGAAGACGATCTAACTTTTAGCATCAAAAAATGTCTGGCTCCTCTGCGATTGACGGTCAAAGTTCTTCAAAAAAAACAGATTTTTTTAAATATCAGGAGAACGGTACGATGTATGTTAGCGAAACTCGCTGACAAGTGGTGAATTCTTGAGTGTCTTGGTCCATTAAGTGTCTTGGCACACAAACTCCCAGAACTCTTTATTTGGTGAACGGAATCAACTCATTTTTTTTATTGATTGTAAAATTTGACAAAACAATATTTGTAAAATCCTGTAGCATTCATAGTTTTTTAGATAGATCATCTTCTTTTGATCCAAAGAATATCGCCCATTTTGATCATGTGCTTACGGGACACCCGGTATAAACAGTCGATAAAAATATTCAGTCCATTTTTTTCAAATTGTGATGCATAGTTCTTCGCTTACAAAAATTTAAAATAAGATTAATAATAAAACCTTTACCTTTCCTCCAGGTACCATCATCAACTTGTAGAACAATAATAAGTCTGATACACTCAGTATTTTAAAGCTGTGTATATACAGAGCGACTCATGTTAAGTCACTTTAGCACCACCGTCTTGTACGTTTAAATGAAAATCAACG